AAGAAAAAATATAATCAAAAGAAGAATAAAAGAAAATTTGTTTTATAAAAAACATATGGAACCAGCATTTTATATAAAGGACGATTTGAGGTCCATTCATGTCATTTGGAATCAAACCATAAAATAACCTATATTTTTTAACAAATGGCTGCACAATAATTTACATTTGTTTAAAAAAATGTTTTATGTGATATGTATTGGGTTGTCCGGAAAATAATGCAGGATTTTGGTTTAAAAAGAAACTTTATTTAATCTTTAAAACAACTGTTATATTTAATCAATAATCTTTACTACTATCAATACATTTCTGCCAATGTGTTGGAAACTATTCCATTCCCTCGGGATAGAATTTCCCATCTTTAGAATTGCTTAACTCCCATAAATGCATTTGCTAATTCCCTTAGTCCATTAAATTTTTTGCCACGTAAGTAGTGGTCCAGATGTCTAGAAAAATGATAATCCGTAAGCAAAAGGTCCGGAGAGTATGGCAGATGTGGCAGAATTTCATAGTAACAATTCTGGACAGAAAAAAAGAGTCGTTTTTGTTTCGTCAAAGAAGTGTAACACAAACATCATAACACTGTTTTTTTGGCAGTCTTTAATGTGTGTGGAACCCAATTTTCAAGCTTTTTTACCTTTCCAATCACCTTGAGGTGGTCATCAACGATCGATTTGCTAAGGTTAAGTTTCCCTGTAAATTTTCGAACAATTGTTCTGGAGTTTTATTCCACCAGAGCCCATAGAACATCGTCATTAAGAGAGGAAGTTCTTCCACGATCTTTTTTATCTTCAAGACTGAAGTCTCCCTCCCAAAATTTATTGAACTACTGCACTCATTAATGCTGCTCTCACCCCAGACTTGATTGATGTTTCAGGGCGTCTGGGCTCCATTCCGGCCGAGTTTAAACTCAAGCCTTGACATCTTAGTACAGACTGAATTACTTTTAAGTAGCAAAATGCTAGAGTTGAACAAATATTATCACTTGGAAGAGGATTAATAAGTGTTGACATTCATACAAATTGATAATACAGTAAACGTAAATAGTTTGTTATATGGAGGGATATTTTAAAGAAAACTCAAAATTCTGCAGGATTATTCTGGACAACCCAATATTTTAGTTAATAATGACTGATTTCTAAACTGAACCTAAAATATATTAGTATATTTTTTAGATTGCTGAAGAGAAAGACACAGATTCCCTGAAATGTTGAATAAATAACTATCAAAACTTAATTTTTATTTTTATTAAACTGATCTTAAGTGTGAATAGAAATAAAAAAATAAGGGTCAAAAATTTAAAAACTGGAAAAAATAAATGTATTTTGTATTTTTTTTTTTTTTTAAACACAAAGTTGATGAATTTAAAGCTAATGTATTTGAGAGTGTTTTATTCAACTTTACATTTTACAGTATTGACTACTGCTCCATTTTTATTTTTCTATTGCAATGAAACTTTTTATTAAGGATTTTTCAAGTTGGAAAAAAACAAATGTCAACTTTAACCCTAAAAAATATTTAATGAGATACAGATGTATTTATATTGAATAAACTTATCAATACCTGCATTATTCTTGTTTTTGGACTGAATCAGAACAACATATCAAGCTTTGTGCATCTAATTTTAATCTGGATACCATCTGGTTTAAATATATATATATAAAAAGATATTTTTTTTGGCATATAGCTATAGTAAGAGTACAATATTAACTTAATTCGTACCAAACGCGGGAAAAAAGTGGGACCAATCTCCTTATTAAGGAAAACAAAGTTGACAATTGTATTTTGCACATAGAAAGACCTTTAATTAAAATTTTCAAAGCAATCGAAACAAATTTTTTGCTCAAAAAGTTTATCTAGGTAAGGTAAGATAATAATAAAGAAAGAGAAAGAAAATTATTAGTAAGAAAATAAAATGGTAAGAAAAATAGTACGTAATCAAATAATAAATAAATATAAAGAAGAGAATCATACATCATGTGAATAAACTTTGGTACTTCTTGTCTAGGAGGCCGGACTGAAACCTCACTTCTTATCTAACTTATCTAACGTGACGTCACATAACCTCCCTCTTCTTATCCCGCCAAACCTTTGAGTTATAGCATTGTTTAGTTTTCAGTTATTCCCTTATTACGTTCACTTATTGAATTCTTTACTTTTGGCCCGTTTGTGTTTATTTTTCATTTTTGGTCCGTTTGTGTTTATTTTACTTTTTTTTTTATTTTTTTTTTTTAGTTTTTGGCCCCTTTGTGTTTATTTTCATTTTTTTCGTTTATTTTCGTCATATTACGGATCTTCTTATAATATGGGATTTGCCGCCTTCAGAAGAACAGGCAATTCAATATTTTCAAAATGTTGGGGTACTTGCCGATGTGAAATTGTGTAAACGAGGTCATCGAATGAAGTTAACCAGGAAGGCCAAATGGAGATGCTTTCGTAGGACTTACGAAACAAAACTTTCAATACGGAAAGGAACATGGTTGGAGGGCTCGAGGATTTCGTGTTTAACAGCTTTAAAATTGATTTATGGGTGGTCCCATAGCTTGACAACAATGAAGTGAGGCAAAGAGCAGCTGAAACTATCCTACGGAGCTATGGTAACGTGGAATAAATGTCTAAGAGAGGTTTGTGCCCATGACATGTTATACAGGCCAAGAAAAAAAATTGGAGGACCTGGAAAAGTGGTTGAAGTAAACAAGTCTTTTTTCTAAACGAAAAAATCATGTGGGGAGAGTTTTACCTCAGCAGTGGATGATTGGTGGAGTTTGCCAAGAAACAGATGAATGTTTTATCTTTTTATAAAACAGATTTTATGTTTTATATTTTTTCTTTTCTATGTGTTTTTTTAAATTTCATTTTGATGTTTTATATGTACATATCTTCTTAAAGTGTTTTCTTATTATTTCATTAATATATTTGTCGTCAAATAAAAGTATTTTTGTTGTTATTACATTTGTTTTTGTATCTGTTTACACTTTCAATAATACAAATCTAATACACTAATACGAAGATATGAAGAAGGAGAAGGCTTATCACTGCGTTATGGGAGTTATCAGTGTTCAGGTTATAAACATTGGCAGATAGCAGTCAGTAGCGGCCCCCTAGACAAGAAGTACCTAAACTTTTTTGTATTTAATTATAACTAAATAATTTACTACTTTTCATATCACTTGAACCTTTTAATTTGCTTGCTAGTAATTTTCTTTCTCTTTCTTATCATGAGGTTGTTATCTGTTTTTTGCTTAGCCCAGATAAAGGACAACGGAAAATTTTAGCCAAAACATTAGCTCAAAGAAAATGAAAAAAATTGTATCAACTTCACTGATTGTAACCCTCAACCTCAACCCACTTCTACTTATAGTAATTCTAATTATATTTATAAAATTTCAAGGAAAAAGTAAACTTTTCAAAATTGCAATTATCTTTATTGGTTTGCCTAAACATTTTGAAAAATAAATTTATCAATACAATTTTCCCTGAAACTTAAAAAAAAATATAGTAAGAGCTCCGAAAATTGCTTCAAAGAAGATTTTATTATTTACTATAATTATTTTAACTGAAAACATTGGTTACTTCTAAGAGACTGATTTTCAAATCCTATAAACTTTTTGCAAAATCTAGAGAACCTTAGGTTATTCAGCAACAGAACTCAACCCCATTAACATGGACTAAAAGCTTATTAAACAAGAAAGTTTTTAAATTATATGAAAAATAGAACTATGAATAATTTTACTACTTGAAACTCCACTTACTTCAATTGGTTTCAACATTAACAAATTCTACCAGGTTTTGAAGAAAATTCTGAATGGTTTACTAGGCTAAACGTAAGATTTACTCAACTTAGGTACTAGTTCACAAGTGGCATGTCTGTATGACTACTAAATGAAGATCACATCATTCAAACAGCACATATAATCCCAAAAATAGCTAAGTGTATTCAAAAGTATAAGGTGAACAACCTTGAGATCTTCCTTTTCATAAAGATAAGTATTAGATGATTAAATTAAAAAGTAATCATCTCAACAGACAAGGAACCCTGCACGGTAAGGTGTATGTTTAACCCATGAGCGAGCATACTCACCTTTAAGTAGTTGCCAACACTTTGCTACTTGCGGAATTCTAACTACATTATAATCTCGACACACCTCTCAACCAAATGTGAAACTTGGGAACTAGTATCAAATAGTTTTTTTATCGCTTCCTATAAACAAAAAACTGCGAATAACTTCAAAAACACAAAACTTGAATTTCCTGCAGTTGTAAGTGGACTTTTTTCTGTAGCTATTGAGGTCCATTAACACACGTATAAGTTTTTCCCACATTTTTATATCACATCTTATTATCAAATATCAACTTGTTCAAATTCAAAAAGATTAACATTTTAATCTACTATTCATCAAGGTTAAATTAGCCATAAAAAAAGATCTTACGAACAACAAAGTAAGAGCATACATTCCAATAAGGAATAATTGTCAACAATAAAATTACAATTAATAGAATATACTACAAGTCTTTAAACAATGGCTATCAGACAGACTGACTTGTTAGATACAGACTTATCAGTTAATAGGTGTAGGTTACATAAACCTTATAATAGGAAACAGATCAAATAGATTAGTATGCAATAGATTCGATAAGTAATGAATAGTGAAGCATCATAGTATTAAAAACTATGTTAAATTTTAAATTGACAAGATCGGATGGATGATTACTGATTTCTATCTAACATAATTTGATAGGGAAAGACATAGAATCAATGAAATATACAAAAGAATATATCTGTTTAACTCTGAATGTCATATTTACTTCAACATTATATAAACAGAACAAATAAACCAATTAAATTATTTCTGTTAAACATTAAAAAATATTTCTTTAATTATACCATTATATAACGACTATGACAAGTTCTAAAATACATGTATGAAGATATATAGGATAATTTTTCAAAAATATTAAAGTGACAATTGTAAGTAAATTGAGGTTATACACTTAAATATACCTGAAAGTTTGCTAAAATCTCTTCTCTATTGCTTCCCGACATTTTAACGTCAAGTTTTGTAATAAATAATATAACTGATTAGAATATATAACTACTCCGAATCCCGAGTCAACAGAAGCTACATGAGTTTACTAATTCAGTTTAAGAACCATGGTCAAACCTAATCAATTGTGACAACTGCTTAACACAAGTTACTAGTTGATGTAGTTGGGATCCATAATTTAAATTATGAAATATTTTTAAAAAATAAATATTAAATCTTTCACTATATATAAATTACAATTTACAAATTGAATAAAATATGCAGATTTAAATTAATTATATTTAACTATCTTAAGGATTCATGGGGGAGGGGGGAGATCTGGGCTAACTGTATGTTTTTCTAGATGGCTTAGATTTAACAAGTTTTTTTTTAAATATTAAAGTACACGAAATTTATTACAGATTTTATTGGACACTTATTTCTTTAAACTTAACTTAACTACAAATCGCTAAAAATAGTTGATGTTTCGAGGTTTGAATAGAATCCCTATATATATTTGTTTACTGATATATAGTTATTTTAATGTAATCAGTTATACTGTTTTCTCTCGATATTTAAATTAATTTTATTCCAACAATTTTTTTTTTATTTATTAGGGCGGTACTAGGGAGGTACCCTTCAATTTTGGAGAATTGGCGCACCATTACTGGCACAGGCGAATCTACGGTGTGGGGGGGACTTTCGGGCTTAACGGTAAAATATAACCATGTTTTATGAAAAACGTTATCTCTCAAAGTATTATTGTTCGTCTTATTACATTTAATAGGACTTAAAACATCACTTAAACACCACTTTATATAGGTACTTAGTTTCTTTCTTTCCTCCAAAGTAGTTATCGTAATACATACATATAAAAAAAAAATCTTTCGGGCTGAAGCCCCTCCCAAAATTAAGACCTGGATCCGTTAGTGATTACTGGTGGCTACAATTAAATAAGGTACAGTAATAGGAAAGTTCGAAAAAAAACTGATGGAGGAATCAATTCAGAGTGTCTCTCGCAGGAACACTATGTTATGAGAAAGAGAAGCTAATAAAAGACTTTACCTTTATTAGGATAAATCCCCACGAGCAGTGGAGATATCTTGCAAGAGACGTCAAAGACCTGATACTCTCCGGAGGTCTGGTTGAGATCTGGACCTAACATTTATTTTCTGTAATATTCTTTTTACTATATTTATATTTTGAGCATTCTACTAATTATTATTAATATATAATGGCATTATATACGCTGCCTCAAAAAAGTTTTCATACAGTTAGTTTTTCTTTAATATTGCTAATAATCTATTTTATTATATTATTTTTATTAATCAGGAAGGGTAGTAGAGGCAAAGGTGTATCGTTGAACGTGGGTATCAACATGATACCAACAAGTTCATACTGGATCACTAATCCTATAACAGGAAGAGACACAACTTTAATCTGAATGTCAAAAAAGTTTCCATACATCTATGATATCTTAATTCTGTTTCTATTCAATGTCATTATTTAGCTCAAATTTATTATCTTAACACTACATTTAAGGTTCAGTCTACTTGAAATATCATTACGCTAATTGAATCCCATCCTGACAATATAGCTGTTTTAAGATCTTCAATTCTAACACCATGATTTTTCACGCGCCTTCCTAATTCATCCCACAAATGTTGTATTTGGTTCATGTCTGGTGATTGGGGAGGAGTATGCAACTGTTTTGGGGAAATTATCGATTAACCATTGTTTTACTTTCTTGGCGGTGTGCTTAGGATCGTTGCCCTGTTGAAAATAAACCCCGTTATAAGTCCAGTTTTTGAGGAGAACTTTTTAAATTGTTCCTTAGAATATATAGGAATACACGGTGGTCCATATTTCTATAAATAAAAACCCGATTGCGAACTCCTAAAACACTCATACGCCCCCATACCATTACACTTCCACCTCCAGGCTTGAAGGTCAGTCACAAATTCTTTGAAATAAGTGCTTCTTTGTCTTTTATCCAGACATGACACCTGTCATCTGGATAAAAAGGTTGAATTTGGAGGAATTCATCTGAGATCACAAAATCTCCAAAACATTCAGGCTTATTGGCTTACTCCATGGCAAACGCCAACCTCTTCTTATTTGTTTGGCTTATTACATGCAATTTGTCCATATAAACCTTTCTTTCTCATAACATTCCTGACAGTTTCTGGATTTACGCATACCTCATAATCTCATGTCAAGCCCACTGGCTAAGGATGATCTTAGGCACCTTCCCCTCCCCCTCCCCCCAGCACCGTCCCAAATCGGTTAATAGACTATTACCCCATGTTTACCCTTGAAGAATTTTACATCAAAGCGAAAAACGTACTCTTTAAGAAATTAAAGAAAGTTAAATTGTACGTCGAACGAGTTACTAAACTTAATATGTTGATTAAGTGAATGTTCGAAAACCACGGTCAACGAATGATGATTTTGGTCAAAAATTGGGACAAATTACTGTAAATAGTTCTGTAGCTAGAAAATGTGTTTTCTGGAAGGAAACCTCATAGAATAAAAGTTGTAAAGCAACAAATTCCGCGTCCACTGAGTATTTTTAGTGTAAATCACCTATATTTCGCGAAATCGGTAATCTCCCAATGGCTTGGAATTAGTATTGAAGGTATGTGTGATTTTTAACATTTCAACAATATTGGTGCCTATTCTATTAAGTTATTCTTGTTTGGAGCCTGCTATATGCAGTATAGGTCGCTTTTCCACCTCTCAGAAGCGATGGATTTTGAGATACGAAAAGAAGCCGAACTTCATGAAGAAATAAAGAATCCCGATTCAAGAAATATGATTGGCCAACATTAAAAATCTTTACACTGAAATATGATGCTCTAAAAATAATTCACTAATTCATTTTAGAAAAATTACCTCTTATATTCAATATTTAGAATATTATTAAAGAGTATTGAGAAGGGATGGTGTATGTTAACTTGTAAACCGAGTTATAGGCTGAATTTTGAGTGGTTCGAGGGTTCTTTGTTTAGTTCACAAACCTAATACTTTTCACAGAAATGCACTCAACAGCTTAACTTTCTTTTATTTTTAAGCAATAAACAAAATAAACATTAAGTTAGGTTACTGTGTCATGTTATGATAAAAAATCGTATTATTATTTACCTATTTTAGATTGAAAGGTTTATTTTTTTATTTACTCGTATTTGTTCTAAAAACTTTTTGGGTGCATACATTTTCTTTACAGCTATTATTTAAATTGGGTTCTGTTTTATTGGCTTTAATATTTATCTCTGGCAGCGTCTGACGAAGATCGATCCGAGAAATTCGCCAAACACCTTTCCCTTACATTTACCTCTCATCCGGAATCCAACCCCACCCACACGTCAGCAGTAGAGGAATTCTTTAATTCACCCATCCCACTCTCCCTACTGCCTAAAGCAGTTAATCCTTCTGAGGTCAAATAACACTTACAAAAACTACCTACTCCTAAATCACCTGAATATAGCCTCCTTACTTCTCAGATCCTTAGACAACTCCCTCCTAAAGCTGCCATATTCCTTACATACATATACAATAGCATCCTATGAACCACCCACTTTCCTCTTTTATTTAAACATTCTACTATTATTCTATTTCCAAAACTAGGCAAACCACCCAACAGCTTAACTTCCTACAGACCCATTAGCCTACTTTCAATCCTTTCAAAAATCCTTGAAAAGATCCTCCTGAAAAGAATCCTACCCTTTATAGAATCTCAAAATCTTCCGTCACACCAAATCGGATTTCGATCATATTTCCGCAGCACTGGAAAGCAAGCAATATTGCTCTGGTGCATTTCTGGACATAGCTCAAGCTTTTGACCGGGTATGGCACGCCGGGCTTCTTTTCAAACTTAAAACCCATCTTCCTCAGTCCTTATACCTTGTCCTCCATTCCTACCTCTCAAATCGTACCTTCCGAGTTCGCTGCGGCACTGAATTTTCAAATTGCTATCCAATTGAAGCTGATGTTCCTCAAGGTAGCGTATTGGCTTCCGTCCTTTACATCCTCTTTACCGCCAATATGCCTGATACCTTCCAGGCAACTTTTGCTGATGACACCGCCATTCTATAGCATCCTTAAACCTTCAAAGACACCTCTCCCTGATTGAGCACTGGTGTAATAAATGGCGTATTAAGGTAAACGAATCCAAATACCAACACTTCACCTTCACGCTCCAAAGCAGTTCCTGTCCACCAGTACACTTTATTCCATCCAGCTTCCTTTCTCAGACACAGTCCGGTACCTTGGCTTTCTCTTAGACAGATGACTAACGTGGAACCCTCATACTAGACTTAAAATACAGGAACTTAACCGACAATACTATACATACTACTAAATAGAAAATCTAAACTCTCTATTGAAAATAAAATACTTATCTACAAGACAATACTGAAACCTACTTGGACTTACGGACTAGAACTGTGTGGAACAGCAAAATTTCCTAACATCAAACGCATCCAATCCTTCCAATCCAAAGTCCTTCGAACAATAGTCGATGCTCCTTTCTATGTAACCAATAAAACCCTACACCATGACCTTATTTTTCTGTTTAATTTATTTTATTTATTGTACATAGAGTGTGAATGTGATCCCAGAACACTATTATAAATGTCCTTGAGGCAGATTGTAATATTTTTCAATAAATAAGTTTAAAAAAAAATTGTTTGAAAAGGTAATCTTCGACCCCTAAAGCAGTGTTGGGCTGCAATCTCAAATCCGACATCATTTTCATAAAAAGCGCCTCCCAAAACCTATAAGTCGACCCTGATATCGATTTAATCCGAAAAGTTAAAAAAAGTCGTGGACCGGGGGGCTGCAATCTCAAATCCGACATCATTTTCATAAAAAGCGCCTCCCAAAACCTATAAGTCGACCCTGATATCGATTTAATCCGAAAAGTTAAAAAAAGTCGTGGACCGGGGGGCTGCAATCTCAAATCCGACATCATTTTCATAAAAAGCGCCTCCCAAAACCTATAAGTCGACCCTGATATCGATTTAATCCGAAAAGTTAAAAAAAGTCGTGGACCGGGGGGCTCAATCTCAAATTTGACATCATTTTCATAACAAGCGCCTCCCAAAACCTATAAGTCGACCCTGA